TGGTTGCCAAGACGTTCTTGTCTCCTCAAGCTGGCTGTTGTCCCGCTACAGTTTTGCTCGCGGTCAAGTGAATATGTGTTTTGCTTTGGCTTAATTATGTCACAAACACACGACCACAGATTTATAAATCAACACAACTCAACATGATAAACTCCAAGTGAAAACCAAATAATTTCATTCTTTTCAAAGACAAACGAGCAAACTAAGCTGCGTTCAAAATAAAACTGTGTTTCCATCACTCTGTTTTGCCTCGCCAGCGTTGACCCCAGCCACACTGGAGTTGCTACTTCTGCTGGTAACGGCACTAAAAAGGCTCCTCTCAAAGACAACAGCCTAGAAATATAGTAAAACAGCCTTAAAACAAGCTGCCGTTTTCATCTTTGCTAAAAGATCTTTGCCTGGCATCCATATTTCCATTACTTTTTTCAGTACAACGCGCTCCCAGCATTTATATTTGTACATCAGTACATAAAATAGATACACCTACACTGTGGAGGCCAGGGCAAGCCCTGTCTCAGCTTCAGCTTGGGCTGCTCTCCCAAATTCTCCCTCTCACGCCGCTACCCTTGAGAGCTGAGGTTGCCAAGTGTTTAGGGACTCCCTCTTTTACAAGCCAACGCGCTCGCCAGAAAATCTGTTATGGGACCTCAAGAGTTGGCCAGTTTGGTCAAAGCATTATGAACCAAACTATGAGTATTTCTTTCAGAATCCCTCTCCGGCTCACCAAGGCGGGCTCCATCGCCTCCCCTCCAAAACATCAGCCCTCTACCATGTGCCACCGCTCTTTTGCCCCACAGACTGGAGCACCCCCCTGATCCCCAAACCAGGTGAAACCCCAAAACAACAGCTCTATCTAAATGCAATATATGATGCCATACATAATGTAACGGTAAAGAGGCAGTGGCTCAAAGTGTTCCTCTTTTGGGCTGACCTATGGGAACACAATTTCTGAAGGAAAAAGAGCCTTCTCTTATATTCCTAAAGATTTGCTTTTCTGTCCTCGTTTCCTCCCCCATTGCTCTCCGTAAGACCGCCCGCTGCAGACTAAATCATGTTTTCCATCTAAAGAGATGGACGGATGGCCGCTCCGAAAACATCATCTCCGGAAGAGGATGCGGTGTGGTCCAGACAGATGCTCTCGTGCAAGGACTCAGCTGCGTGATGCCATCAAGGCAGCACACCGTAATTATTAGCTAGTGTTCGTACGTGAGCCACAAAGTTGCATTGAGTTATTTTCCTTTGCTTACTTGAATGAATTGTTATTTCCCGCTGACAGAAATTAATGATTGTAAATAGTCGTATAAAATGTTTTTCTTTTCCAATTAAGAAAATGCCACCAAAAAAACCCCACCAAACCTGATTGTGAGTACACTGTAAATTATGTATTGCTATACCGTAAATTATACATCTGCTGCCTCGGCGCCAATTAGCCAGGAAGGTAAGAGAACGGCGTAACAGTTGGGAGCCTTGAGTATTACTGTAAGATGATGCGGCTGATCATTTCACGGCTTGTTTTGTTCCTGCCGGTGTGCAATGGGATACTGCGAAATAATGCGTGCCATCTGGTGCCGGCGTGAAAAATGGAATAATGCATACCATCACCTGATCCCTATGTCAGTATACATATTTCTGCGAGAAACTAGAAAATATTTGTTACCTGTCCTCCTGCTGTGCAGCACTCCACTGAAAGAACGCTGCAGCTATTATTTTATGTTGTCAGGAAGAAATGTCTTTTAGTTGTTACTACATCCTACATATATGGAATCACAACATGATTTAACAGCATGTAATTAAGTATTGCTAAGCAAGTACCAGTAAGGTTTTGAAAAATTAGTCGAAGATGAAAAAGTAAAGAAAATAAACTAGAACTCTGGTTTTACCTTGAGCTGTCAGCCCTAACTATATTCTACGCATCCTAGAAACATCCTAAAGGTTTCCCAAGTTGCTGAAGAGCGCTGTCTTAGAATCACAGAATAGAATCATAGAACTGTCTCAGTTGGAAGGGACTTCTAAGATCATCAAGTCCAACCATCAACCTAACACTGCCAAAACCACCACTAAACCATGTCCCTCAGCACCACATCTGCCCGTCTTTTAAATACCTCCAGGGATTGTGACTCCACCACTGCCCTGCACAGCCTGTTCCAGTGCTTGATTACCCACTCGGTGAAGACATTTTTCCTAATATCCAATCTAAACCTCCCCTGGTGCAACTTGAGGCCATTTCCTCTTGTCCTATAGGTTGTTACTTGGGAGAAGAGATTGACTTCCACCTCTCTACACCCTCCTTTCAGGGAGCTGTAGAGAGTGAGAAGGTCTCCCCTCAGCCTCCTCTTCTCCAGGCTAAACAACCCCAGTTCCCTCAGCTGCTCCTCATAAGATTTGCGCTCCAGACCCCTCACCAGCTCCGTTGTCCTTCTCTGGACATGCTCCAGCACCTCAATGTCTTTCGTGTAGTGAGGGGACCAAAACTGAACACAGTACTCAAAGTGGGGCCCCACCAGTGCCGAGTGCAGGGGGATGATCACTTCCCTAGTCCTGCTGGCCACACTATTCCTGATATAGGCCAGGATGCCAGTCCCTTCACCACAATGCTTTGGGCTCGGCCATCCAGCCAGATTTTTCCCAGACAGAAGTACACCCATCCAAGCCATGAGCAGCCAGTTTTTCAAGGAGAATTCTGTGGGAAACGCTGTCAAAGGCTTTGCTAAAGTCCAGGTAAACAACATCGACAGCTTTTCCCTCATCCACTAAGTGGGTCACCTTGTCACAGAAGGAGATCAGGTCAGTCAAGCAGGACCTGCCTTCCATGAACCCATGCTGCCTGGTCCTGATTGCCTGGTTGTCCTGTACGTGCGGTGTAATGGCACTGAGGTTGATCTGTTCCATAACCTCCCCAGGCACTGAGGTCTGACTCCCAGGCCTGTACCTCCCCAGATCCTCCTTCTGCCCCTTCTTGTAGGTGGGTGTCACATCTGCTAACCTCCAAGTCCAGTCAGCTGGGACCTCCCTGGTTAGGCAGGACTGCTGAGAAATGATGGAAAGTGGCCTGGTGAGCACTCCCGCCAGCTCTCTCAGTACCCTGGGGTGGATACTCTGGCCCCATACACTTGTGTGTGTCTAAGTGCTCTAGCAGGTCCCTCACCATTTCCCCGTGGATTATGGGGGCTTTCTTCTGCTCCCCACCCCTGTGTCCTAGCTCAGGGGGCTGGGTACTCAGGGAACAACTGGTCCTACTACTAAAGACTGAGGCAAAGAAGGTGTTAAGTACCTCAGCCTTTTCCTCATCCTTGGTCACTATGGTTCCGCCCCTGTCTAATAAAGGATGGAGATTATCCTTAGTCCTCTTTTTATTGCTAATGTATTTATAAAAACACCTTTTATTGTCCTTAAGAGCAGAAGCCAGACTGAGTTCGAGTCGGGCCTACACAGCCTCACAACATCTTTGTAGTCCTCAAAGTTCTTACAGAGTCCTGTAAGATACTCACTTATTAGCAATTTATGGAGCTGCTGGATGCTCTACATTACAATACTTCCACACTATTCCATTTAAACCCAGCTACAGAACCACCAAGCTTATTAGCAAACTGGAGGTATGGTACTTCAGGTATGCCATCGCCCTAGCAAAAAAATACATCAGCATTATGCTTTCCTGGCACGCTGAGAACATACTCTCAGTTATTAAGCTTCCATTTAGTTTCAGAAGATCAAAGTTATTATGTGTTGAATATTTAAATATATGCAGACAAGTATTTATTGTAAATTAACTCATCTCAGTCTGAGCCAGTTAGCCAAAATACTGTATTAGAAATGCAGAGAAATTCTCATCGTGGTGGTGCTGCGCCTCACTGGAAGTGTTTAGGGATGCAAGGTAGGAAATCCCTTTTATTTCCCAGAGCGGGTCTTCTTCAAAAGATGGTTTCGTTTGGCACACTATTGCCTGCTCTTACTCTTAACGTGGATGCCGCGATATAGTTGGTGTGGTTTTAAAAATGTACCAGCTCTGAGAGTCGAGTTTCTGTGAGGCTCTTAACAAATAAAGAAAAAAGTGTTTCTATCTTACGGGTTTGTGGGGGCAAATTTAAAACTAGAATTTAAAATTACAGTTCATCTCCATCTTACTATTAAAACATAATCGAAATAAGGACATTTATTTAATAACTGTATTATTTTATAATTAAGGTATAGATTTGCAGAGGCAAGACTCAAGTTTTGCACTGGATACATCTCCCTGACTGCCAAGAAGTGACACGAAATTTGGCCTTCAAATGTTCTGCCTTCTTCTTTTTGGGTGGCTGATTTAGGAGGGATCGAACGTGTTATCACAGCATCAAAGAAGAAACCCAATAGCTCTTATGCACAGATAAACACCCAGGATGGGACGAATGTTTGTCCATTAAGATGAATGGGCGCCCCAAATTCCTGCCTAAAACGCATGTTTTTACTATTTCTATTCTTATTCCTCCCTACAGAAATAAAGCATATTGTTATAATAATCACCTGTTGAATATGGATTTACAGTTTCTCTTCTTCTAGTTTATAGGAAAATGTTTATATAAAACAGGTTACTCACATACAATTCCCACCTCCACCAAAATCATATAAACACAACAAGATAATTTAAAAACCACCACCACTGCCTTGCCTTCAGCCCCATCAAGAAGACCACGATTAGGCTCTTACTGTACACGAAAAATACTCCAGTTGTAAAATGTCAAACATTTTGACCTTCAAATGCACGGACAGGGAAGACGGTATGAAGACAAGCTATTTTCTGATGTCTACAAGCAAGGGAAGATCGACATTTGGCCACTCAGCTGCAGAACAAACCTTATTTCCCCATTAAGGTGCAGCCTCTTCGCATCACCAAGTGACAACGCTGGACTCCAAAAACATAAACCACTCCCAGACTCCTTCCAAATTGCAAGAGCTCTCTGAAGGTTGCAGAAGTCCTTGAAAAGTTATCTCAGCGGAAACGTCACATCATAAGGAGCACTTACCCTTGAAGGGCTTTCTCTCCAAACCAATCTCCCTTCCCCAGAGTACGGAGAAAGACCGGATCTTCACTGGGGGAGTCTTCGCGCGTAACATTCACCTGTTGAAAAGCCAAAACCCCCCCAGCATTTAGAAAACTCTTAATTAACAAATAAAACCTGTTTGTTCAGAGAGGGATTTGTCATCTCCCAGATCTCTCAGAAAAAGCTCCGGCCCGTATCTCCTCTGGGAACCATGTAATTCCCCACAGTCCCACACTCTTCCCTCAGCATCACCAACCAACCACCCGAGAAAATGAGTAGTTATTTTCCACTAAGGTACCTACTACTCTTGCAAAAATGCAATACTTGTGGTTTTTTGGAGGTTTTAACTCTAAACATGGAGTTGGCTGCACAGGCACAGTCATTGCCCGTATGGAGTCAGCAGCAGAAATATTTTCTGTGTATCAGACAGACACATGGCACAGGCTTCTGTTAGCTTTGTTCCGCATGATTTCTTCCCTTCACTTAAGGGAAAGGACTAACAAAAATAATCTACGTTTAGACGTAATTGAAATGAAACAGTTTGGAGCATTACAGGATGAAAGATGCCTCCTCTCCTTTTTACTATCTCTCAAATTCAGGGAGGGGATAACTCTAGCCGCATCAAAAATGAAGTATTTTCATTGAGGTTTAAAGGAAAATACCATCTTATATTTTATTTTTGCAGTGAAAGAGAAAAGCAATTACTGCCGAGGGAAAGCAGCCTTTCTATCCACGGTAACACCATGGGTAGTACGACCTCCCCAAGCTTAAGGTGAAGAAGCTGGCACTGCAACAACGAGAAGATGACTTCACAAACGTGAGTGATGGTTTCCTATCGCTGGGGGATCCTTTTTATTTTCTGAAATGATTTCAGCAGAAAAACAGTAATCGATCATCTGAACGTTCTTGGCTCTGGTTTCCTGTGCCAGTGTGGGCTATAAATCCCAGCTGCCATGTAAGGAGGAAGACCCTGACATCCCGCGGGGTGCCGAGGATGGCATGACAGAGTAAGGACGCAAAGGGCTCCACGAAAGACGAATGCTCTTGATGTAATGGCCCTCTATGAGAAATACTTCTTCCTTTTCAGATGTTATCAAAGGTATCTTGTACCTCTTACGGTATGAGAAAGCAGGTGAAATACAACCCCCTGCTATCAGTGCGTGGTGGGCATCACCTCCCCAACGTTAACCATCTATAAATCTAGTTGTCCAGACTCTGCCTGTGGTCAGCGGAGAGGGACAGGTATTTCCAAAGCCTGAGTTGTCCGAAATTTAATTGGGATGAGGAACTCTCTAGAGGTACCTCGCATACATGGGAAAATCTCTCATCTGCTTCTCCTTTATGGGCTGTTCAGCTTTAATCAGAGCTTTTGTATATGCAAATTCACAAAGCCAAAATCTGGGACATCCGACACATCCTTTCGGATTTGGAGATGTTCCAGTTTAATTTCACTATTAAATTTACAATGGCGGCCCTCACTTTCTCCCATCTCTTTTTACAGATGGTAAAACCGGTGGGTTTGAGTCATTAATGAGCGCTCCGTCTACATCACACTCCATTTAACATCTACAATGACTCATCGAAGATCAGATGAGGGTAGGGAACACGTAACAGATGAGCCAGGAAGATTTGTAGCTGATGGAAAAAAAAATAAAATATTTGGACCAACAAAGGGAACTTTAATGCAGATTTAAGCTCTTTCTCCATCAGCTCCGCTGATCCTTAAGCAATGAGTGCTGAGGGATCACGGGAGTGCGATGAGCTATGTGAACAGCCACAGCACCAATGAAGAACTCGCACAATCCAGCATTAAATTGGTGCTACGCTTGGCTTTTAAAGGGAAAATGGTGTACAATGGCACAGCACGGCACCTGCTGTCCCCGGGCAAAGGCAAGGCACACAGCAGGCGTGGAGCAGCAGCATTCAGCAAGCAGAAGGGACCAAGTTGTTTTCATCCGACGTATTATTCACCAAATTTCTGCACGCGGGGCGTTTTGAACACGCTTTTGATTTCTATTCACTTGGCCTCGAGGAAACACGCTGAAATAAATAAACTAAACGAGCTCATGAGCGGGATCAAGTGCGGCGGATGGAGTTGATGGAGGAAAAGGATTTTGCTCCTAAAAGAACTACGCGTGGAGCACGGGCTGAAAGAAAACGGAGGAGAAGTATTTCTAAACATTTCTGAGAGAAGTGCTGGGCTCAGAAATGTAAAAAAAAAAATCTGTTCACTTGACTGTCACTGCAGACTCTCTGATACAAAAAGCAGGGCAGAGTGTTTATAAGTAGCTCTCACTCATAACACTAATACTGACGTGATGCTGCTGAATGCAGGAAGTACATGCGAGGTCCCAGGTATAGGAGCTTCAGCTAGCATTTCTTCTGGCTTATTAAGCTACCTGGGTCGGGTTTTAGCATGGGACATGGGACATTACGTGCCCCTGCTTCAGCAAGTCCCAGGCACCATGCATGTTAATTTGTTAATTCTGTATTTCACTGCTATTTCTTCCACCTTTCACTCCTAAGACTCTATTCCTCCTATCCTGGGATGTATCCTTAGCTCAAGTTAGCTCTTACATCCACCGTGTAGCTCATATGTCCCAATACAGGCATTAAAATTAAACGCTCTCCAACTCCGTCCATCTTCTATCAGTCACCGACAGATCTTTCGCAAAGCTTGGAAGAGAAAACTGGGCGTAATTCAACCGTCCCCTGTGGGAATTTCTGTCAAGCCACCAGGACCCAGCTGAGAGTCTGGGAATTTCTCAGCAAGCCCATGTGCATTGTTTTTATTTTAGCTCCCTTTTTCTGGCCTTTATCACAGTAAGATAAAGCAGCAAAGGCCAGGGGATAAAGCCAAGGACCACAGGGCTCTGGAGCGATAGGCGGTTTTCCTCCTCCATCCTGCAGTTGAGGTTTAAGGGCTTGAGGAGGTGCAGGTCAACAACTGGTTGCCCAGTTGGTATTAACAACAGAGAGTTGGTTTTGCCAACCAAGGGCCTTTCTTTGGAGATCGAGGACTGCTAGGAAGGGACGGGATCCACCAAGTGGGGCAAAAGAGTCATTGCCAGCAGGCTGGCCAACATGGCAAGGAGGGCTTCAAACACTCAACGGGGAAGAGAGGCGCACCCTCCCATTATTTTTGCCCATTAAAGGCAAAAAAAAAGAAGAAAAAAAAAAAAAAGGACTTGAAGAGTGCATCACAGTTGTCCTTATTCTGGGAGAAGAGGAAATATTACTTCTGAGCAGAGGGAAACAAAAAAGGGACTAGTGTGAAGGGAATGCCATCACACTTGGCTTTCTGCAGTCTGTGATTATCTTAACTTCGGATCTTTCTCCATGGTTACCTAACTCATCCCAAATAACCACATTTTTTCCTTCTGATGAAGATGAGCTCCCAGAGACAGAGTGGAAGACGAGGGTGAATATCTAGTTTTAGCACCCGAGAGCTGACAGCTGCCTCGGGAAACAACCCGACGGTGTGGTACAACACCCACACGCTTCCTCTACGGGTGCCACGGGGTTTCTGCTACCCTCAGTTACGCAAGGCCAACGTTAATACGTGCCTTGCTGCAGACATCATCAGATCCATGAAGCAGGAGGCCGGGGTTGGCCTGCTTCCAAGCATATTTATCCATTTGTATTCACTTTCAATGCATCCTGTCTCATCTGCAGTGGGAAATCACTGTGTATTCCCTTGAAGACCTCCATCCTGCTACGTGGAAAGAAGCCAAACGTTTCTCAAGTGTGATAGTATTAGGCCGGCTAAAAAAAAAATAGAATAAAGTTGAATGGAAGGAAAAAACTCTATCTATAAAATCCCATCAGGATTTTATGGCGGGAAGAAAAAAAAAAAGAGGTGTAAAAGCATATTTTCCCTGTGAGCAGTGACACAAAAACTTAGACCTTTTTTCTTCCCCAAGGAGAAAGCCCAGACTTCGCTGGCTTCCTATTATTTAATTTGGAGAAGCTGAGAAGTGATAGCCATGGGAACGAAGCCTGGAAGTCAGCCTTGCAAGAGGGATACTTAGCAAAAAGAACGTTGAATATTGTCGGGTATACAGTTAAAAAAAAAAAAATATATATATATATATATATATAAAAAAATTGAGCTTTTTGGTCATTTACCAAGAGATTTCAACCCCAAAGTGTTCACTGTGAGCACATGTGTAAAACAGCACGAGATCTATTTTTTCCCCTTCAGGCCACTCTTCCCTACTGATACAGTGCCAAGAAGTTTAATTAAATGTCAAGTGTTGCAACGTTTGTGCCTGGGGGAAGGGAGAGAGAAAGCGCTGGCTGGCACTGAATTTCGGGAGCGTTATCACCACCATCGCCACCGTCCCACTCGCCTGCGACGGCTGTCGACTTACCTTTCCTTTGCTGATTATAAAGAACGTGTCCCCTCGAGCACCTTGTCGTATAATATACTCGCCGCTTTCATAATGTGTCTGTAAAAAAACAAAAATAAAATAAAATTAAGATGAACAAACAGAATCGGAGACTGTTATTCAGCGGACAGTTTGGCAGCTTTGCAAGATAACGTAACCCCGGACCGATTTTATCCCAGCCTGACATTGGCCGTGATTTAAAAATTGTCCTGTGTCAAGAAATATAATAATTAAAATGAAATCGCTTATGGCTTGCCCATTTTTCTTCTTACTGTGCTACTGCCAGCTTTTGCCCAGATGAATTATCCTCATGGCCTAAATCCATTTATACTAAGTAAACCAGACAGAGGAATTTTCAACAGAGAATACAGTACATGAAGTAAACTGCAATAATATGTCTGCCGTAAAAATAGTTCTTTTCCATTTTTTTTTTGTTGGTTTTGGTATTTTTACAGCTTTGCTAGCAAGGGATTGAGTCAACAAATAATTTCTGCTCTTCTCCTGTTATTATAGCAGTTTAATCTGTCCTTTTTTTGCCTTGTTTTGTGGAATATTCCTCGCTAAATTTATGTCACAGCTTATCATCCAGCCTTAATAGGATAGCTTCATCCCTTGTGTTACCCCACCAAAATCAATGTGCATTTAGACATCAAAAAAATAAAAGCTGGTATGTCCTAAACAAAGACTACATTCACATTTAGTCCCCCCTAAACCTCGGTGTTGTCTTCAGAGATGCTCTACCCCCCCGCAAATTCCACAAACATCAGTTCAACAGCAACCGCAGGGGTGGGAACGCCAAGAGCTTCCCACCCGATGTCTCTACCTACATCTACTGGTCAAACGACTGCTGGGTTGGTTGGTTTGTTGTGTTTTTTTTAATCAAGCCCCCGTGGAGAGCACAGACGTGCCCCCAGGCGTCACATCTGCTGTGCCCCAGCCCCGATTTGGGACAAAACCTCCCCAAAAATGCTCTGGCATCATTCGAAGCTACGCTCAAGCGCAAAGCCCCAAGGGAAAAAAAAAACCCACCAGATCTTTTAATCCCAAACTATGTATAAACAACAGCAAGGATGGATTTGAGCTAAGACAGAGGAATTAATCAGAATCCTAGAATTTGGATAAGCTGGAGATGTTTTCTTCCAAGGGGATTTTATTGTCCTGCGTTTATTTGTTTATCTTTACACTCAAGCTTTTTGGTGCCACTTACAGACCGCTAACAGACTCCAACATGAAAATAAATAGGTAAAAGCTTATGTAAGTAAATATATCTGGCACATCTGAGAAAAAAAAATCCTTGGTTTGGGAGCACTGGGCGTATTAATGAAAAGTAACTGTCCGAAGAAAAAGGAAAAAATAACTAAGTGAACTATAATAAGGAATTAATCAAGTTAGTTCTTTAAAATACATATAGTTAGGCTGTGAGTGCTTGCACCATCCTAAAAAAAAGAATCAGCATAAATAAAATCAAAACTTTAAAGCAGTATGTTAGGAATTAATACTCTTCAGACTCTCCAGAAGATTAATAAATTAAAAAATTAAATAAAAATAAAGTTCTCTGTGAGAATCACAAATACCAGATATTATCATGTCAGTCTTCAGAAAAGGGACCAGAGAAGGTGGGTTGGGAAGGCTTAACTTGTGGGTCGCCCCGATCCTGGATGGGCTCTGATAGATCTAAAAACCACAGCTTTTTTCCTTTTTCCACGTGCAAGAGTGGAAAGAAGAAAAAAAAGGCTGAAGGAGACCATGGACACAAACTCGCAGAGTTTTACTTCCTACATGGGGTGTTGCTGGACCGCACATTTTGAGGATGTGCATTTTTGAGCATTCAGGTTGAGACTCCTTGAAAGGGCCTGATTTTATAAGGCGTTGGGATCATACCCTCTCTTCAAGTGGAATCTTGTAGGCTCCCAAAAATCTAATGATTGAAAATACTGGTCAAAAGGTTTCCAATTTTAGTATGGGCAGCCCATATCCATTAGACATATTAAACTGCTACTGCTTGTATGACTTCTGTGCAATTTTGAGTTGACAGTGCCTTACAGCTGACTCTCAACTTTTGGCCAAATAACACATTCAACATGGCAAAACCTTCTTCCTAAAAGGCCATTTCTTGGTCTTGGTCACCAGTTACAACTGCACCAACCACTGAGCACTGAGACTCACAGTCCTGCTGCCGTATTCGATTCCCACCCATGAGCCCTCCCAACCAGTCCCATCCATGACTCCTTCCACCCAGGCTTCTGGTGGGAAGAAAACTCAGAAGAAATCTGAGTTTTGAAGGATCTGAAGCTGCCTCTTACTTTGGCATCTCTTCCCTACTGTATTTTTTTTTTCCTGGGCTCTAGTCTCATTCAAAATACTGCAAGTCCTTCTTCCAACATTCAAATCATATTCCTCTAGTCCTTCCTTGAGTGCCCAATTGCACTGAGCTTTCATTTCGCTTGACCTCCCCCTCCCCGACACCTCTCTCCATGCCTTTCCTGTGGTCCACATCTTCATCTTTATGTATTTCAGCCCATTTCTTTCACAGCTAATTCCACCTGGCCTTACCACAATTCTTCTTGCTTGAATCAACCTGTCCTTCCCCATCTTCTAACAATGCTCTTCCTCTTAAATCCTCCTCTTCCACCACAAATCAACTCACCCGTGTGCTTCGCCCTTCTAACCAAATTATTTCTCTCCATTTAGACTGAAAGCACTGTGCAAAGCAGGCAAAGTGCGTTAAGTGCCCACTTACGACACATGCAAATAAAAATAATTACAAGCCTCTTCCTTTTAGCCGGCCATGTAGAAGGTCGCAATACATTCTCAGGTACGTACGGTACCATTGTACAAAGTCACCGAAGAAGCACTTTAGCAAATGTTGCCCATATTCATGCTAGAGCTGATTCATATTTGAGGAACACAAGCTCCATTTCATCCAGAGAAAATCAGTCCAAGAACAGCCTGAGGAAAATCAACAATTCCTACAGCTTTACAATAGTGCCGTGGCACATGCAAAGGAATAATACATGAATTAAAATCACTAAAAAAGAAAAGCAGTAAAGCAAGTGGGTTCAGTGTGTCTTTTACCAGCTTTAGACTGACCCCACCACTTCTTCTGGACTTGCATTTGCAAGATGAAATTCAATGGCCGAGCTCTAGCAAGCTGTTAGAAGCCACACTCCGTTGAAGGGGATCCTTCTGATGGAAAGAACAATTTATTGGCATCTTCTTAAATTCTAGCTTCAAAGCCCTGTACGTAACTGGTGAAGGAATTTCCAGAATGCCTTTAAAATGGGTAATAAATATTTCTATCCCGCTTTTGCAGTCAGCAAATAAATGATAATAAAAAAAAAAATACACAACTAGTGTAATACTCCAGATTTGGGCTTAGAACTTGGAATTATTTTTTTTTGTTTTAGACTTTTCTCCCAAGAGAAAAGGACTCTGGACAGAATGCTGTGTTTTCAGAGGCAATACCAAAGTTCAGTGATGAAAGCTAATTGAATACCTCAGATAGATTTCACTGAAACCTAAAGCATCGCATAGGTTTTTGAGCATACTTCTTAAGACACAGCTCCTCCAGGTCACAATAAAAATTAAAGCAAACCACAGAAATTAATTCTTAGCTGGAAGAGTTGATCAGACTATATTAAACTATCCTTTCACTTTTTCATTTCTCCAGCAGAAAACCAGAGCTGAAATCCAGCATAAAAAGGGAACTGAGAAAACCTTCACAGAAACGTAGGCTGCAAAAATACAGCTGTATGACCTGCCAAGGTCGAGATAACCGGGCAGCAAAGTTAATAGTTACGAGGGGCTCGTGTGTGCAGAGGGAAGAGAAAAAAGAAGGTTATAAGCTAAGGCATCGAGGTCCCAGTCTGGCATCAAAGTCGGAGAGAGTCAGCGCTCAAGAAAACAGCGATGATAAAGCCGAGAAATTACGGCTGGGAACACTCATATACCAGCAAGCTGCAGATGTATATTTTATAAGCTTTGGCAAATAGGGAGAAAGGCTGAGCTTCGATGAATTATAAATGATACAAAATTTAGAGCATTTGTCATGCTAACCAGACTGTTGTTTTATAAAGTAACACTGAGCCCTTAAGGTACCTCTCTACGGAGCCGGAGCTGCTTTATCACCTCTTGAATGACCCCCCCAGCCTCATAATACCCCATTTTCCCATATAATAAAAAATTTTCCTAGTCTAAACCAGCAAGGCAAGACCATCTCCTCCTTATCAAAAAGCTTCCCAGTTTAAACCAGTAAGGGGTTGCACCCTTAGCAAGGCAGGGATGTCCATCGGGAAGCAGAGTGCAAGCCAAGCTTGCGACCCAAACCCTCTTGTGTTTATCAGAGGATAGTTGAGTGCTCCAATGATAGGTTTCTTCATAAGAAAATAAATGATAAAATAAAAATAAGTCATTAAAAAAAGAGTTTTGGTTGGGGTTTTTTTTTGGCACGTGCAACACATCCGAAATTAAAGCTGGAAGGTTTCTTCAAAAGGAAGTTTTAAGTCTTCCATTAATATTCATGGCTTTGATTTCAGTGTCTCCACATGGTTTAACTCCTATAAGCATTTAAATACTTGTAAAATAAAGGTTCCGAGTCTTTCCAGTGGAGCTCAACTCTGAACTCGAAGCCATGGCATTATATTTACAGAAAGAATGTATCAGGCAGGAAAAAAAAATAAAAACACAGAAGAAAAAGCTCTAATTAGCTTTCTCAGGGAAAGAAGAATAGGTCCTTAACCAAAATGTTTTATTAGGAAACAAACCCAAAATATGTATAAGCAGGAGAAAGTTATGTACATATTACATAAGCTCAATTTTCCCTTAAATTTACTTCATCAACACTGAGGCAAACCCAACAGGAGGAGGGAAAATAAAAAAATGACATTACAGACCCGGCTCAATTAGCATTTCAAAGTCCCCAGAGGGTTCCTCAACTGCCGTAAGGCAGCACAGTGTCAGCGGAGCGTTTCCAGCACCTCAGACCAGCCCATCCTCTGACCCCTCAACCTTTATTTCTCTAGAACTCCTTTTTTTTCTCCCCCCCCTAATTGGTTTGTTAC